AACTGTATGGAGCTATTGTCTCTCCCAGTAAAGGTTGTTATGGTAGTGCAGGAGTGTGTGAACCTCGTTACAGCGGCTCTTATTCTTGTGTGTTATGTGGCTCCGTATATCCATTAAGGCGGGGTTATGTGCGTGTGTGTGAAGTGTATACATACACTCATAAATGTGCACTTAAATGCATACACATACATTATATATTATACACACATACTTCACATACACGAATACATACATACGAGTACACATACATAACATATACGCACATGCACATACATAAACAAACCTATGCACATGATGTACACACACACACACACACAGAGAGAGAGAGAGAGAGAGAGAAGAGAGAGAGAAGAAGAGAGAGAGAGAGCAATAAAGACAGTACATAAGAAAGAGCTTCGTTATTGCACTAAGACTCTCTAGGACCAACAAGATTCAATTGGCTTCACGTGACCGCAATGACCTTAAATGACCTAGTTAGGCTCAGCTGACGCCTAGTGACCCCAAGTGGTATAAATTGAATCTAGTTGACTTCAGTTGACCTCAGATAACCCTTGGTGACCCCAGGTAATCCCAGGTGACATGAATGTAATGTTTGAACACTCATTTGACATGTGACATGGTGTAAACTTAACTTTTTAGAAAAATCTGATTTTTTTGTATATTGGCAGCCAAAAAAAAGAGAGAGAGTGTGTGTGTGTGTGTGTGTGTGTGTGTGTGTGTGTGTGTGTGTGTGTGTGTGCAACCTTGATGCAACACAGACCAAGAATAACTAATTTGTTCACTGCTATTTCTCCACTGGATTATAACATGGAAATATACACTCAGGTATTTAATCAGTTAATGCTCAGACAAAATACGACAACCCGGAAGTAATAAATATGTTCTCTGTATGAAGAACTTCCGATAACTTACTGTTATTTTACTGAAAGAAGTTTTAATGTGTTCTGAGTTATATGAATGATTATTATATATTATTATTATTATTATTATTATTATTATTATTATTATTATTATTATTATATATTATTATTATTATTATTATCATATTATTATTATTATTATTATTATTATTATTATTATTATTATTATTATTATCATTATTATTATCATTATTATTATTATTATTCAACCTCCTGTACTCTGATGATAAAACTCACGGACTTATCAACCAAGTTTAATTACAATAACACTCAACATAACCATAAACTCTACGACTTAATAACCCACGTTTAATTACACTAACACACAACACCCTACTGCACTGTCACTGTATCGCACTGAACTTTACCACTGTACTGTAATATACCACATTGTACTAGACTATACCCACTGTACTATTTCTACCACATGAAACTATACTTATGTACCACACTGTAACACTATAGAACTGTACCACACTCAGTTATTTTCACACTCATTAATTAATACTTACTTATAGAAGAGGTTAATGTGGGTGAAGGAGAGTGTGTGGGAGGGAAGGAGGTGGGATGGAAGGAGAGGTGTGGGAGGGTACAGTGTGTAGAAGGAAGTAGGAGGTGGGAGGGAAAGAGAGTGTGGAGGGAAGGACAGTGTGTAGGGAGGGAAGGAGAGGTGAGAAGGAAGGAGAGTGTGTGGGACGGAAGGAGAGAAGTGTGGGAGGAAGGAGAGATTGGGAGGGAAGGAGAGGTAGGAGGGAAGGAGAGGGGAGGGAAGGAGAGTGTGTGGGGAGGGAAGGACAGGTAGGGAGGGAAGGAGAGGGGGAGGGAAGGAGGTGGGGAGGGAAGGACAGGTGGGAGGGAAGGAGAGGTGTGGGGATGGAAGAGGAGTGTAGGGAGGGAAGGGAGATGTGTGGTAGGGGAAGGAGAGGGAGGGAAGAGGAGTTAGTAAGAGGGAAGGACAGTGTGTGGGAGGGAAGGAGAGGTAGGAGGGAAGGAGAGTGTGGGAAGGAAGGAGAGTGTGGGGGAAGGAGAGGTGGGGAGGGAAGGAGAGTGTGTGAGAAGGAAGGAGAGTGTGTGGGGAGGGGGGAGAGTGTGGAAGGAAGGAGAGGGGGACGGAAGAGGTGTGTGGAGGAGGGAAGGAGAGTGTGTGGGAGGGAAGGAGGTGGGAGGGAAGAGGTGGAGAAGAGGAAGGAGAGTGTGTGGAGGGAAGGAGGTGTGTGGGGAAGGAAGGAGGTATATGGGAAGGAAGGAGAGTGTGGGGAAAAGGTGTACATACTAATGGATGCACCTGTAGTTTAGGTTCCATCCAAATGTCACTCCTTCGTCTTCCATCTCCCTTTCCTCCTCTTCTCCTCTCTCTCTTTCTTTCTCTTTTCTTCCCTCTCCCCTTCCTTATCCTCCCTTATTCACCCTGCTCCTTTCCTCTCCTCTTCCCTCCTTCTTTCTACTGTGTATTATCTCCTTCTCTCTTCTCTCCGCCCTCCTTCAATGTGTTCTGGATATAAGGAGAGGGTGTAAGGGAGGTAGGAAAGGGTGTCAGGAGGTGTGTCAGGGAGTCAGGGAAGGTGTCAGGAGTCAGGAAGGTGTCAGGAGTCAGGAAGGTCAGGGAGGAAGGTGTCGAGAGGTAGGGAAGTGTCAGGGAGTCAGGGAGGGTGTCAGAGGTAGGGAAGGTGTCAGGGAGTCAGAGAAGGTGTCAGGGAGCCAGGGAAGGTGTCAGGGAGGTAGGGAAGGTGTCAGGGAGTCAGGGAGGGTGTCAGGGATTTAGGGACAACAATATACCACTTTCTTACTTCTTTATCATCTGTCTATCTAACCCGTCTCTATGCCTGTCTCTTCTCCCGATTCTCTTCCTGTCCACCTGTCCACCTCTCTCTGTCCTCATCTGGGAATCCGTCTGTCTTTCCGTCTAATTTCATCTGTTTTAATCTGTCTGTCTTCTCCAACGCTTGACTGAACCTGATGTAATTTGACCTAATGTAATACTACAGTAATATGTTTTATTTTTCTGACTCTACGAATATTGATATAATCTTTGAGGCTTCGTATAATTTCGTATAATTTCGTATGATAATTGTCTTCCCTATAATGCATCAGGAAATTTTTATATATCTGGAAAGAAATTTGTAGTTATAAGATATATACGAGTTTATATATGAACGTACACCTGAAAATTACAAATATATTTTTATTATTATTTTTTATTATTTTTTGGTCTTTTACATAAAAATCTTACATGTAAATAATAAAATAATTAGTGTTTCGTGAAAAAAAAATTTAGTTTGGATTTTTTTTCTAAAGACTGAGGTTAGGAAGAAAAAAATTAAGGGTTCCAAAAATTTCTCCTCTGGATTATTACCTAATCGACGAAGCGTAATTTTTTTTCCAAGATTTGCGAAAATTACATCTTGTTAATTTTTACACAAAATTCAAATTTATGAAAAAAAAACAGAAAATATATAATAATAATAATAATAATGGAGCAACAACAACCCAACAGCAACGAGCAAAACAGTAACAAGCAAGCAACAACGGCAATAACGTCGAAAACAATGACAACCAGCAAAACAGCAACAACAACAACAACAGCAAGCAAGCAGCAACAACGAAAGCAACAGCAACAACAGCAGCAACGGCAAGCAAGCAACAACAACAGCAACAACAACAACAAACAACAACAACAACAACAACAACAACAACAACAACAACAACAACAACAGCAACAACAACAACAACAACAACAACAACAACAACAACAACAACAGCAACAACAACAACAGCAACAACAACAGCAACAACAACAACAACAACAACAACAACAACAAGCAACAACCAACAACAACAGCAACAACAACAACAACAACAACAACAACAACAACAACAACAACAACAACAACAACAACAACAACAACAACAACAACCCCCAAATCCCAAATACAACTACAAAAATCTCTTCCAAGATCTTCATATAAAAATCACTGAGGTATTTTCTTTACATATGAATGATTGATAGAGTGAACCTTGTATTTTGGAGGTCAACCTTCAAGGAGGGGAGAGGGTTGATGGTCAGCTGGTAGTGTGGTTGTTGAGATGTGGGCGGGATGTGGTGATGTATGTGTTATCTATCTATCTATCTATCTATCTATTTATTTATCTATTTTTTTGCGTCTCTCTCTCTCTCTCTCTCTCTCTCTCTCTCTCTCTCTCTCTCTCTCTCTCTCTCTCTCTCTCTCTCTCTCTCTCTCTCTCTCTCTCTCTCTCTCTCTCTCTCTCTCTCTCTCTCTCTCTCTCTCTCTCTCTCTGTTTACTTCACCCCAGGGACGTCACACCCTTCTCCCCTCCCTCTCACCCCCCTCTCACCCATCCTACGTGACTCCAGGACTATTGAAGGGAGTGGGTAGTGAGTGGGACGTGTTCTGAATCGAGATGGTGAGCGTGGGTGTGTGAGTGTAATAGTGAGAGTTGAGTGGTGGTGAGTGGCGCTTGTTGTGAGTGAGTGGAGGCGAGAATACGGAGAGGAAGAAGGAGAAAGACAAAGGAAAGGAGAAAAAGAAAGGAAGGTTTCCAAGAGTGGCCTGGATTTGGGGTGAAAGTGTCAACAGAAATACAACCTTGCACCATCACCAACACACTTCCCCACACGCACCATCACCAACACACAACACTCACAGGTAAAAATAACTCACACAGGTAGACTCATACCTTTACCATACAATAAACTTTTATTTTAACATCTAATTTATTTGTTAGTGTTGGATTAAACTATTTATTTCTATAGTAAAAAGGATTTATTTATTTATTTATTATAGAAAATGGGATATGTTGTGTTTCGTTTTCTTTCTCGTTCGTTTTCTATTGTAGGGATGACTTAATTAAATCATTTTCCATGTGTTATTTGTAGGAGCTGATGATGATGATGATAATGGGTGACATTATAACGTCAACAACGATACTGAACACACACAGACACACACACACACACACACACACACACACACACACACACACACACCAAGGGAAATTCACAAAAATAACTGAATGTATTTTTCTGCAGGTATAACTCACAAGTGCATGTCTCTCTCCCTGACAGAGCCGCGAGTGTATTGCTTCCCCAGTCTTCTTGCTCCCTACTGCCCCCACCACCCGACTCACTGACCACTAACACCTTTCTCAAGTAAGTTTCTTCCTACTTATACTTGTGTGCTCTTGTAAGTACGTTTTATAACTAGTTCTTGTTCATAGCTTTAATCAATATTAACATCTTTCTTAAGTATGTGCTCTTGTAAGTAGGTAATATATATATATATATATATATATATATATATATATATATATATATATATATATATATATATATATATATATATATATATATATATATATATATTGCTTCTGTGTGCATCACTGACACACCACTAAGCCACACTGTAACTATAACTGTGTGTGTGTGTGTGTGTGTATGTGTGTGTGTGTGTGTGTGTGTGTGTGTGTGTGTAGGTGTGTAGGGGGTGTGTGCGTGTGGGCCAAGCAGACTTGACATAACTGAGGCGTCCCCACTGGTCCTAATACTGTGATAGTTTAGGTTATACTGTATCTACATCATGAGCTGCATTTCACACACACACACACACACACACACACACACACACACACACACACACACACACACACACACACACACACACACACACACCCTCCACCCACCCAAATGACCACAAACAAACACAGTAGGTGAAGAACCCTAATGAAGGTACAGCAGAAATAATACAACACCGCGGAGGTAAACTAATTTCTTAACCACAATATACGTGTCGCACTCCGTAGCTCAGGGTGAGGGGTTCATCGAGTCACCTGCCCACACACTAGATATTCAAGAGAGAGAGAGAGAGAGAGAGAGAGAGAGAGAGAGAGAGAAGGAAGGGAAGGGACGCTTAAACTTTCAGATCGAGAGCTGACACACACACACACACACACACACACACACAAATCACACTCACGCATTGAGTTTTTCTGGTAAATTGAGATATGAGATCACAATTTATGGCTCTCTTGAACTAAACCTTAGAAATAACGTCGACATTTACACCTAAATTGCATTGAAACTTTACCCTAGATGTGTTTATTTACCATCAGTTAGGGGAAAAATTATTATAGGGAATATTTTTGGCTCTGAATGACATAATGGGTGAAAAAACGATGCAGATATCAACACAAAATATGATTATGAATTAAGGCTCTTGATGCAACTGAATAATAGAATGTAAACAAAAGCAATTCGTCACAGAAGGATCTCGATACAGGTGAATATTACAATATACACAAACAAATCGTATAAGATCAAAAACCAATGAAAGTTATGGATCTCGGTACAACTGAATAATACAACGAAAACAAAACAAATCGTCACAGAAGGATCTCGATACAGGTGAATATTTGAGTAATAACACATAAACTCTCAGCTATTAAAAACCCTGACGAAAAGAACACAGGTATTCAAAGTAAATTGTACCTGATTGTAGCATTCATCAAAGGGAAACTATAGTGTGTGTTTTGGTGAGTACAAAGAATAGGAACTAAATGGATGTGAAAGTTTGGTGTGTGTGTGTGTGGGTGTGTGGTACTGTGGAGGAGAGGAGAAGGTGTGGGGAGCGGGAGTTGAGAAGAAAGTGCTTTAACATGAAAGTAAATTGCCAAGAGATAAAAATAGAGAGAAAGAGAGAAAGAGAGATAAGATGGAAGTTTGAGTTAAAGAAGAGAGGGCAAACGAAGAAGGATATTAAAGGATTAGATTTCGCACACAGCAAAGACCAAAGCTATGTTTAAAAGACAAGGGTGAAGGATGGATGAGAAATGAAGGAAAGAGGGAATTTAGACAGCCAGGAAACAGAGATGTGCGTGAAAGAGTGAACACCAGCATGGCGTCCAGTAGAGTAGGACACACTGGCTTTTGATATATCTGTGTGTGTGTTTTCTGTGTGTGTGTGTGTGTGTGTGTGTGTGTGTGTGTGTGTGTGTGTGTATGTATCCATTCTTCATTAACCTTAAAATACACACAATAAGTAAACAAAAGACATGAAATAAAACAAAAAAAACAATAAAACACATAATTCTTTAAAGACAATAGCAAAGATATACCCTGGGCCATATTGAACTATCCTCTGTGTTTAAACCTTTTATGTTATTTTGGGGAATAAAGTTATAAATATATTTTCTTTCCTGTACGACTATATGATTTAGTCTCCAGTGGCTATTCTTGACTTGACTGGTGGATGACTTTTGTACGTGAGGGATGACAATACCCACAATAGCCAGTGGTTAAGAGTGTAATCTTAACCCCTCTTACTTGTTCCCCTCCCTCTCACTTTGTTCTCCTCCCTTTCACTTTGTTCTCCTCCTTCTCACTGTTGTTCCCCTCCCTCTCACTTTGTTCCCCTCCCTCTCACAATGTTCCCCTCCCTCTCACTTTGTTCTCCTCCCTCTCACTTTGTTCTCCTCCCTCTCACTGTTATTCTCCTCCCTCTCACTGTTTCACCCTCTCCTCGCCTTACCCTTCTCTTTCCTCTCAATACCTCTCCCACCCCTCTCAGTGCCCCTCCCACCCCTCTCACCACCTCTCCCACCACTCTCACCACCCCTTCCACCCCTCTTACTACCTCTTCCACCCCTCTCATTGCCTCACCCCAGCCAGGTGTCTGTCACGCGTGCCTCAGTAATTGCTAGTCTACGTCTCTCTCTCTCTCTCTCTCTCTCTCTCTCTCTCTCTCTCTCTCTCTCTCTCTCTCTCTCTCTCTCTCTCTCTCTCTCATTATGTGCACTTTATATAAATACCTACATCCGTATACAGTACACACATACACACACACACTAGATCACATAAATACACTCACACAGACACACACACACACTCACACGTTTTAAAAGGCAAACACCCATGTAAACACCATCACTATGTATTAAACCATCAACAAATACATGACAAACACACTCTTGAATTATTTATGTCCCTCAAAAATATGTAAATACGAGAGGCGAGGGTTAATAACTATCTATCTACCTTGTTGACTTAATGACCACATGAACGATCAATGACGTCATCAGTGTTGGTAAACAAAGAGATATTTTGTTGTGGACGAATTGTTATATTTATTTTATATTTAAGGAGAAACAGACGCTATGAGAAGCTACCATAACCAATTTTAGGAGACATTTTATCGTAAGTGAAGCAGTTAAATACACTGTGACAACCGTAACTCGTAAGAGAGGCTACTTGGGTTACAGGGAGCAGTTAAGGAAAGTGAGACTCCTGTATTTATATAGTTAAGGAGGAAAACATGACCTTAGACTCCTTAGACTCTTTGAGAGAGACCCTGCGGTTGAGTGTGTGGTGAGGAATGGCTCATTCACTCCGACCGTGAAGTTTTACGTCTTGCATGGGTGGTACAATCTCTCCCCGCCAGGCGCCCTTACCACACAGGGAGAGGGGGGAGGTGGGGGGAGGGTGGAAAGGAAGGAATGATGGGAAATGAAGCGAGTGAATGAGAAAGGGGAGGTGAAGGGGTAAGGAACGAGGGACAGAGAGGGGAGGAGAGAAGGATGGAAGGAAGGAGAGAGAACATTTTAAAGTGAGAGGGTTAACACACACACACACACACACACACACACTGGTGAAGATAACATCACTTATTAAATGGTGGTTGACCTTGAAACCTCTGTTGACCGTGACCTTATTAGGGAGTGGGGATGAGGGGTGAGCGGTGAGTGGGCGATGGGGGTGAGAGGTGAGGGTGAGGGAGTGAGGTGTGTAGTACCATTACCATACCCCCCTCCACGCCATAACAACATTAGCTCAATACCTCAGTCCTGTCATGTAATTTGCGCTGTTGACGCCATTATGAAACAGATACTATTAATACCTCTTAATAACACCTTCATTATTCTGTACTTCACCACACCACACCTCCATCACACCACACCACACCACACCATACCATCACCACTAACACACCTTCTCCACCAACACCTCCACCACCACCACTATATAACCATACCTCCACCACTCCACCACCACCACCGTACCATACCATCACCACTAACACACCACACCACAATATACCATCACCACTAACACACCTTCCCCACCAACACCTCCACCACCACCACTATATAACCATACCTCCACCACTCCACCACCACCACCGTGCCATTGTCTGCCTTAACAAGGTCCTGGAGGTCATGACGGCGCCAGTCCCGGAAATACCTCCGACTGCCTGAGAGGTGGCCCAGGCCAAGGCTCCTCTTTGGCCACTCACAACCACTTGATGGCCCCGGAGAACCCAACCAGTTTGCGAAGATTGCACGGAGCCGTCGACTGTAAAACATTTGTTGGCTGAGTGTCTGTCGTGGAGAATTGACCTAGATGACGGCATTACTGCGGGGGTCAGCTTGCCACGGTCACCCCCCACCCCACCCCCTCACCCCTCCAATGCCCCTACACGGTGTTACAGCCCCACAAGCTCCAATGTTTAACTTTATCCTGGGGGCTGTACAGTACCTCTCTCTCCTGGGGGCTGCAGTACCCTCTCTCTCTCTCTGGGGGGCTGTACAGTACCTCTCTCTCTCCTCTCTCCTCCTGGGGGCTGTGCAGTGCCTCTCTCTCTCTGAGGCTATGCCTCTCTCTCTCTCCTAGGGGGTACAGTACCCTCTCTCTCCTAGGGCTGTACAGTACCTCTCTCTCCCTGCTGGGGCTAGAGTATGCAATTACACCTCATCTTTCCTCCTGGGGGCTGTCATATCCCATTTGTCTCATCATTATTTATGGTGTGCATCTCTCTACCCATCACCCACCACCATTCAACCCACTACCACCACCACACCTTCACCACCTTCACACCATCACCACTATTTCCCCACTACCACCACCACACTCCACCACCACACCTATCCAATACCACCACTCACCACTGCACCACCACATCACCACCATGCACTGATCCACCACCACAACACCACCAAACCATTACACTCCCATCACATTTCCGCCACTACCACCACATCACCACTATAATACCACCACACCACCACATCAATACACCACCCTTACACCATTGACCTCTGATATCACCATTGACCTCTGGCAATCCCTGACCATGACCTTAACCTACACCCCTACACTAC